TTTTTTTTTTTGAGGATGCAGATTATGCTATCCACAGCTCAGTTATTGTGCTGTCTGCTACTTTGTGCTAGCAGATAAAGTCAAGGCCGTATACACTTTAGTTCATAAGAAGTAAGGTGTATTCACAGTTCAGTTGTGACTGCTTAACTGGCTACTGCACTAGCTCAAACCATGTAATTTTGGCTAATGTCTTACCGTGCAGATTTCATCCAAACTCTCAGTTCCCCAACTATAATTTCCAAATTTTCAACTTTTTGAATGTTATTGAAGTGAAGTACATAAATATAATAACAAAAATACTTTTTTTCTCTGTCTGTGACCAGTAAACAGTAATCACAGCGTGTCAAAATTGCAGTGTTAATATTTAAGTACTAGTTATAAGCAGTCACATTTGGATATGAATAAACCTAAAGATGTCTCCTCTCTGTATTGTCAATGTTTTTCTTTGTAATATGTTGCTTTGTTTTTTGTCTTTTTTATTCTTTTCTCAAGAAAACAGAAATTTATCCCGAACTAGCGATGGTCAGATTAGACACCCAGAAAGCGTTCTCTGCTCTGCAGCATAAGGTAGTGATCTGGTGGAGAACCAGATTAGTTTAGTCAAAGGCTCTATTCCCATAGATTTTAGATCGATCTATCCCCGCGGGGAGTCTCACTAGATTACTTTCAGATAATCCGACTTAAATGTCCGTTCCGCCTACTACAAGCTGTAAGGGGGTAATTAATTTTCGTGTCCGCCCGGCTGACAGCTATTTAGCATGAACCCCCAGGGAGTTAGGTCGATCTAAAGTAGGTCGATCTAATCTATGGAAATGGGGTGTAAGTGATTAGATGGGTGAAGCTGACCTGGGTGCCACTGATGATTTAGTTCACTGATATTGCTTGTTGATTAACTGGTTTGTTTGTAAAATGCATGGTGAAATTTTGAATGTGAATGATCTGCCATTATCAGAAAATACTTATTTGATGACAGTGAGAGATATATCACTGTATTTAATTTTATTCGTAATGAAATAATTACTTTATGGGGGTGTATTTATAAAAGGCATTTTTGTAAATTAATGAATAGAATTACTGATACATATATAGAGACCAAAATAAAGAGGAAATCACAAAATCTTACCATGCAAGAGAAGACCTGGCTCATAGTAGTAAAGTGGGAGAAATGGTAAAAATAATCATTACTAACTTCACACAAAATAACCATGTTAGCAGTAACTTGTATCAAAGACTTAAAAGCACAGGGGACTACTTTTTGACACAGAATTGACCAGAGAAGGTACTGTATTTCATTCAGTACTTCCATACAAATATGACAGTTTTTGTACAATTATTCGGCATAATGATATAATAGATGATGTTAATTTAAAAGTTAACAACAGGCATTAAACAAAATATTTTAAAATGCACAATCAAAATAATCTTCATGGACTGTACTTAAATGCATGATATTTTGCAGCAATAATTTACACCCCTTTGCTTTTAAATACATTTTTTCTTTCCTGTGCAGGCAATAAACAGAGATATTTTCCTAAATAGTAGGCTCTGTCATCTTCAGTAGATAAACTCCTTGCCTTTTTTGCTTGTTAGAGATAGATTAGTCTCTACCTTGATAGTATTAATATGTATGTGTCCAAATTACCAGTTGATGTGTTCACATGTAACTTGATTATAACATTTTTTCCAGAATATTGAAAAAAGTTCCTCTTTTTTCCCAATGACCTTTTACTCCAGTGAACCCCTTGGTTATTCTAACCTGATTGACAAGAATGTAAAAGGGAAAAAATATACCCAAGGTTACCATTTTAATTGGTGGTATGATGCTGAGTGTTTACGTGTGTGGTTTACATTAGAAAATTTTCACTGTGAAGTGTTTTGAAGTGAACTTGATGACTTGGTGTGACCACTAGCTCTTGGTTTCAGTTTCATTCGGACATGACCTTGGAATCTTTTGATCTTTGACCCCTTGACCTTTCACCTTTTGTCATGAGACAGCCAGAGTTGAAATACATGTATTTCACTGTAACATTTTATGACACATGTTAGACCCGTATCCAGTCTAAAGTTGTCCTTGTCTGAATGCACTTACATTAAGTGCTCCTCGAAGTGTTGCTTTCATTTTGGCTGAGTTCAGTATCTGAAAAATTCATATTTGTCATCTCTGCTTGAAAAGTTTTAGACTTTTGTCAATTTAGTAAAAGTGAGAGGAGAGATGGATATATTGTGGTTGCAGTGAGCTTGATGTGATTTAACTAATTGATTTCCTCATATTTATTTATTCATTAATTCATTTTCAGTCACTGTTGTTATTATTTTCTATTTATTTAAATAGATTAAAATTAAATTAATATTTTAATAAACTAAAAAGTCTTATATATATACCAGTGGGGTAATAAATTGACATGTTGAACTTACTAATTTAGTGTTATAACCATGGAACAATTTAAAATAAATGATAGACTTTTAGTAGATTTATACAGCAATGTTAGTTTTTATAACAAGCTTCTTGACCTTTACATACTTAATATACCAATTTATCTGTGAACTGGTGAACTAAAATGTATGAATATTTCATTGGGTGTGGGAATGTAATTATAATATTTTATTGTTGGTTATATTATATATTAATTAAAGAACCATTAAATGTTTGAATTGTGCTTCTTCTTGTCACATCACATGTGTGCAAAAATATTAATAATAACTTTTGATTAGAATTTTTTGATGGTTTATCTATGCTGGTAGTTTTTATTACTTGTAATTTTATGCATATTTTATTGTGTTGGCCATTTTACATTAAAATGGTATTATATATTAATGTAATGCTCTGAATACAAAAATAATATTTTGAACATTTCATTGAGTCTAGTCATTTGGTAATCGACTCACGATTTAATTTTTTCAGGCAATTGCTCTGAAGTTTGCTGAAGTTGGTAAAGTAATGGCAACCTTCTCAATTCTGACATCACATCAGACACCAGGGCGGAGCCACCAGGTAAAAGACAAGCTGTCACCAATAATATTTTAAATAATTAAAATGTTTAATTTTTTCAATAAATCCTCTTTTTTGGAAATCGTAAACATGATGCCAACAATTTGTTTTCATTTGTTTGATAATCTTTAATATTAGATTCATGGTTAATGATATATAAAACGTTTGTTTTGGAATATACTAGTAACATATGTTCAAATGTTTCTATTTTACCTTTACAGCTGCAAAACCATGTAATGTTTGTTTATGAAGAACTTCTCAAATTGCCGTCATTCCCGCGCAAGGCACTAGAAGCCGAGTTTGGCATGTATAAAGGGGATCATGGGAAGGAAATGAGCAGCGTAGACAGCATGCACAAGTACACCTGGATCAAGCTGGTCGACAAGCTGTTTGCTTGCATGACAGGGACATTTGGATGGAGTGGAGAGATTCCTTTCTTTCTGAATGTCATCAACGGGGCATTGTTACTGCAGTGTGAGGACACGGCCCTGTTCCGTTTCTGTATTGCCACTCTGATCAATGCAGCCAGGAAGTTTAAACACATCTTTGCCACCGATGGGTAAGTCATGGAGTAATTAAAAAAAAAAAAAAGAATTCACAAAGACAGATGTGAAAGACCTAGGATATGGTAAACTTCCAGGTTTTTATGTAAGTTTTTCATTAATTAAAAAAATTCAATGTTATTAGCATTATGCTGTGGGAGCAATGGAGGTGGCCTCAGTCTGCCTATGTGTGTGTGTGTGTGTGTGTGTGTGTTTGCGTACGTGTGTGTGCATGCATGTGTGGGTATGTTGTAATAATATAAGTGAATGACTAACTTTGGATTTAAATATCACAGATCTTTGTTTTACTATGAACTCACCTTTTTTTTTTGTTCAGGTTTTTGTACATCATGCCGACCATAATGAGAGTGTACAGTAACAACCAGAACAACCCTGTCCTGGTGAGGGGGGTGCAGTTTGCCTGTAAACAGTTCTTCATCCTGCACAGAAAACCTTTCGTTCTGCAGGTAAGAAGTTAAACAAGTAGAAAGTTTGATAACAATTTAATACCTAGGTTGTCCATCAAAGGCTTGGGGGCTCATTATACTAACAACAAGGATGATGGGGACAACAATGACAATTAAGAATTTATTTACTCGACTACTTCTAAAAATCAGATGTTCATTAATAATTCAGAAAATCATCACAATTCTAAATAAACATTTTTAAAGGATATTGAAATACATTTATAAAAGCTCAAACACAGTATAGCGGTTAATTTTTATTGTGTAAAATCTTGCCTTTCATATTGTTTCTTTTCAGATGTTTGGCAGTATAGCCTCTAGCCTGAATGTTGGACCACTGTTTGCCACACCCACTGGGAACAAGGTAGTATGACAAAAATAAGTAAAATTAATATAACTCATGGCCCTTGCTAGATTAATGAAGACAAGACATTTGCATCCTCCAAAATGCCAATGTTTAAATAATAATTTATTTTCAAGTCTTTCCCCAGAAAGTTGCTACAGGCTCCTTGTGGGGGGTTGGTTTGCCTACTCATTCTGATATCTTTGGATATTGGCCATAACATATTTTTTCTTTTAAAAAGTAGAATCCGTCAGAAGAGAACATATTGTAAAAGAATGTTTTTTACCACAACATGGTTTGATGCCAGAATTTCAGTAATATTCAATAAGGTAAAATATGAAAATAATTGAGCCCATTTATAAGGCTTAAAACCTTTTGTTTCTTCCTATCCAGATCCCAGCTAAACACCTGTTTGAAATGCTGCTGGCTTTGGAAGGGGACTGTCCTGATGAAATGGACATTTTGGAGTTGGTGGAGGGAGAGATGCCACTCAAAGCTTTGGTACGTGTTCAGTTAGAAATATCTGAAACTGAGACCAGGGCTCCGTAACTCGAAAGCATCACAAATTGCGACCGAGCGCAAGCGTCTCTATTCCATAACTTGGCATTTACTTGCTCCATCTAATAGCCTCAACATAAAAGGTGACATTGCTATTCACAATTCACGATTCCTTTGAGTTATGGAGCCCTGGTCCAATTTGAATGGGAATTTGATCTAGTTTGTATGCCATTAGGATGATAAGGTCCATTTATTGAGAAAAAGACTTCCACACTTATCCATGCATGCACACACACCTCTCTTTTGCAGTTTCTAGGTACGGGTTTATCAGTGTTAGTGTGTTAGAGAATGATATGTTTTAAAACTGCTACATACATATATTATACATGCTATCTATATTCCAGGACTTTTGTTATGCTGATGAACCAGATAGTCTCACCATGTTGGAATGTATCAACATGTGTGTTACTGTGGTGGCCTATGCCTCAGATTCTGTCAGGGGGGCCCAGATGCTGGTGGGTTTTATTTTTGTGTGATTTTATGATCATTTTACTGTATTATTCAGAATAGTTTAAGAGAAATCTGTAAATGTAGTAAAAAAATAATAATCAGATTAACCTGGAAATTTTTATTGCAATTGAAAATAGAAAAACTATCCATCAAAGGTGTACAGAATTGCATATATATGTTCTTTTACAAATTTCACACTTTTAGCCTTTAATTTCTTTATCATCTCAGACTATCCTGGACGCCCTGCTTCCCCAGTACCTACAACACATACGCCCTGCCAAGAAGAACCATGAAAAAGCCAAGGAAGAACTGAACATCATCATGAACCTTGGGGTGTCCATGAGGGCACTGATTACCAGTTGTGATGCTCTCACAAGGTAAAGAAAGATATTCTTAAAGTCTCTTCAGACTGAGACAACTTAAGAGTAAAAATTGGGAAAACTTGAGTCATCATTGGATCAGAAAACAGAAAGTTATCTATGCTTGCTTTATTTTTCTCTAACCACTGTGTCATAATGATAACAGTGTAATACTTTGTTTTCTGGTGATGCTCGAGTGCTATTTACTGTTTGCATTTGATTTTGTCTGAACTGATCAGTTTTACACCCTCACTGCATAAGTAATTTTAATCCTTAGCATATTTTCTCTTCCGTGGCATAGTGCTAATTATTTTATATTTCAGTTGATCATGAAATGGACATGGTTTTCAATTTAAAGAATCTGCATTTGCTATGAGTACTTTTTTTTTCTATTCTGTCATAGTTTGATTTTGTTATTTTCATATACTGAATGAAATGAAATATAGNGAAATGAAATATATTATATCTGATTTTTTTGTGACAGAGAACATTATATTATTTTAGTTTTGTTATTTTCTATTAAATTCTGCATGGTAATCACAGAAATATGAGTGGTCAGCAGAAGCACCTTGAGGTGGTCAGTTCAGGGGCCAAGCCGGTCAAGGCACACATGGGTAACCACCTGTTTGCTGACCGGGACTCTGTAGACCTTAATACCAGGTAAGACTGGCCAACACTGGTCAAGACTGGTCAAATTGAAAAGTTTTGACATGATTTTTTTTATAATGGATGTCACCGATAAATCTACTGTAGTAGTCTTTTAAATAAGAATGAAAATAATAAAAAGCAATGATGATAATCATAATAAAGAGTACTTTACAATATAAAGGTTTAAAAACTGCAGATTACTCATTCTAAAATTCAATAACATATCAGTTTAATGTTATAAGAAAATATCAAGTGCATGTACCGGTAAAATGAAACTACATAGGTGTTTATAATATCGTTTTCTAAAATTCAATGCCTGTTTAAGTTCACTGTATTGTAAGTCAATTTCATTATTTAAAAATTAATAATAATATTTTATATGAAAAGGTAATTTGTGAGTTTCATTTTCATGAGAATACTTTGAAAACCAAAAAAAAATAATAGCTTCCTACTTACATTTGTCTGATATATGTCAGTTATTTATTCTCCCTCGCCAGACAAATGGAGGAGGGCACACGAACTACCCCTCAGCAGCGTGAAGATGAGGACCTGGAGATCAGTGAGTACCGCCAGCCACGTGACTCTCTCCTGTGTGTGGCTGCTGAGTACTACACCACCTGTGTCCCCAGGGTGAAGGAGTTGCGGAAACAGCTGTCTGATAGCAACAGAAATGTGGAGCTGTTTGATATCAAAGCTCATACGGTATGGGGTTCTGAATTATCGATCTGAGAGTTCTTATGATTCTCAGTTGTGTAGAATTAGTTACAGTCAGGTGTAAGTTAGTCTTGATGTGAACAAACCTTTTTTATCCAGTGGTATATAAATTGAAAGTTTTCTGTGTATTTAAAGCAGGCAAGCATTTCAAGTCTCGGGCAGTTTGCATTCTATTGATATTGATAATATTCTTGGTTGAAAACTACTCCCTGACAGCTATGACTCTTGTCAGTAAATCTTGACCTTGAGCTGTGAATTGCATTATTGCCATGTGCATTTTATCTGTGATTCACACATTCACCAATTATATAACCATCGCACACACACACACGCACACACACACACACACACACACACACACACACACACACACACAAAATGAAGTCAAATAAAATTGATGAACGAAAGAAGACTCAAAATTATGCATTGACAGTTTTGTTTGTCATGAGATGTTTTAAAACAGCACAATACACCTTGTTATATTCCAGAGACTGGCAGAGATTGCCCACACCCTACTGAAGCTAGCACCATATGATCCCTGTACCATGGGCTGCCGTGGATTACAGAGGTAATAGGATAAAGCTGTGCTCACACAGGACTACTTTGACTAGAATTTGGTCCAACTTGCACTGTCAGACAACCATGTTTTTGCCCTTGCTCCACTTTAAAGCATTGCAGTAACTTCCTTTTTCTAGCTTCCTTTTGATTTATTTATTTATTTATTTATTTATTTATTTATTTATTTATTTATCTCTAGATACATGGTCCAAGTGCTTCCTCTGACAGACTGGTCCCACGAGAAGATACGCCCTGCCCTCCATCTTCTGCTGAAAAGACTGGACAGGATGTTCAATAAAGTGACCAGGAAGTTCACGCTCAAACAGAACTTTGACTGGTTTGCAGCAGCCAACTTGTTGAGAGGCAAGATGATTTAAGAAGCTATTTTAGAGAATTTGTCAGGGTCGTTTATTGCTTTCTGGTTGAAATTAGCTTAAATGAGACTTACTGATTGAAAGGCAAACTGATTCTCTAAAATGGTTAAATTATGAATGCAAGAAAGAAGTTTCATTGGAGTTTGAATTTGACAATTGTAGTAGATGTATAATTTTATGAAAGTTAGTTCTTTTAAAAATGTTCAAATTTCTGTTAATGCGAATGTGAATATTTGATAGAACAGGACTTGTGATCTGTTCAGACTGGGTCATTTAAGACTGGGAATTAACAGAACTGGTTTTATCATATAGTTAGACGGTCAAGTATAACTCCTTATTTTGACTTTGTGGCACTAAAAGGGAGTGTATTGGTATGTTGTGGATGTTTTCTACTCTGTTTTTGTATTTGTTTTTCAGGGTTGTACCTGACTCTGTCCAACTATCCCTCCCTGGCCTTTATACCTTATATGAAAGTAAGTAGTACATTGCTGAGACAAACTCAGAGCACAGGTTTTAAAAAGACTTCATTATTATTATTATTATTATTATTATTATTATTATTTCAGCCTGTTATCAATGTGTGTCTTGGCATCCTGCTGTCAGAAGACAAACCTGAAGGTACACAGAGCACCCAGCACAATTCTTTTGCTGCCCAGGTCCCCCAGCTGTTCTGTTCTTCTGTGGTGAAACTGGTGGCCATGCAGATGGCAGCACTTGGGGTGAGGAGAGTTTTAGTCTAGTAGTTTATAGTGTGGTATTTGGCATGCAGATGGCAGCACTTGGGGTGAGGAGAGTTTTAGTCTAGTAGTTTATAGTGTGGTATTTGGCATGCAGATGGCATTCAATATAGGTCAGAGTATAGTTTAATATATAAGTCTAATAAGTCTCAAATACCTAGTTGTTTGAATGAAAATATCCTGTCCAGAGATGAAGTATCTACATAATGGAAGAATGTATTTTATGTGTCAATGCACTCAGGAATTGTATTTCTTCCCCAGGACCAGTACACATTAGAGCAGGTGTGTGGGGGCTCTGTGTACACCAGTATGGAGAAGACACAGAATGTGCTCATGAACTTCATTGTTCCACTCTGTATAAGAGTGGGGGCAGGCAGAAAAGGTAAAAAAAGATGTAATATTAATGGATAAAATAGATGACCCCAATATGTCGTTTCTGGATTGTTAATTCCGGCTGACTATTATCTTTGACATTAATATATTTTACATTAATATATATCAGGTACTGTATGGATTGTTCAGCATACTTAACATGGTGACTGTCACATGTAATATACTGGTTAACACTTTCACAACTACCACACTGTCACATCTAACACATTTTTCAATTCCTATTTTAACAGTTCTTAAATTATATGTGGTATGATTAAACAATAATTATATCCTATCAATCAATTGTAATGAATAAAATATTGATTGGCATTATCAATTACACTGTAATTGTAGACTGTCCCAAAGTGCGCCAGGAAGACATCTCCTATGCTTTGACCATCATTCTGAATACTCTGGTTCCACCTGTGAAAGTTCCCGTACAGCCCGTGGGAGGTTTTAACAAGCCTCACTACATGTCAGCTAGCGACGTTCACAACTCCAGTGTGTCCTACAGTGAGGCCAGGTCACCCCAATCTGCCATTAAAGAGAATGTCTTTGATACTGCTTTCCTTGGTGAGTATGATGTGTAAATATTTTAAGATAGAAAGAGAGTTTTTTTGTGTGTGTGTGTGTGATCGGGCTGCAAGTCATACTGCATGCCCCATTTTTATTTATCTCTGATTTTACGATTTAAGCTTATCAGTATGTCTGCTGGGATTCAAAGTAAAGGAATGTGGAAGTAACTACAGGCCCCATTGCATTGATATAATTGATTTCTCTCTCAGGTCTGAAGGTATTGATAGTTTGCTTCCCCAAGGAACTGAGCTTAGAGTGGCAGAGAATTGCCAATTGTATCAAGGAGATTGGACACAAAATGATAGGTAAGACATGACATTCATGGTATGATATCCATGGTACCAAAGTGGATCATGATATTTGTGGTTCCAGGGTAAGTCGTGACATTCATGGTATGATATTCATGGTACCAAAGTGGATCATGATATCTGTGGTTCCAGGGTAAGTAATGACATTCATGGTATGATATTCATGGTATCAAAGTGGATCATAGTAGACGTGGCATTCATGGTACCATGATGGATCAAATAGACACCACTTGAAAAGATGCTTTTGGGTCTTAGAAAACAACTTCGTCCTGTAGGCTACACTTTTAGAAAAAAATTAAAATACATCACTGGTGACAAAAGAGGCAGCTTGTTATTTCATTGTTTGTGAGGTTTGGAAATGCAGGCTGAATCTAGAGTATTGTTTTCACATTAAAGGGATAATAAGTCTTCGTATGAGATCTATATTTCACAATAAAAACATTGTGAACAACTCATTGAAATATAATATACTCTGTTTTACCACTAAAACGGCAGTAATAGCTATTATTCTGATATCTGAGCTTGTCTTTAGACCACGTGACCTCCATTGATGGCTATACTCTGTTATAATCTCTTAAGAGATAATAACAAAAAAAACAAACTTTTTAGAAAAAAAAACAGGAACTAACTTTGAATCTAAAAATGGATTCATTAACCATTGGTAAGTATGGGAAAATTGTTGTTTACTCCAGATAAATTAATTTTTTTGGCCAAAACGAAGAATTATTATCCCTTTAAACTTTTTAATGGTAATTTCCCTGGAAAGATAACTAAACATTTCATGCTGTTATCTGATATTAGATTTTTGTTACACTTTTGGTGAGAAAGATACTTTCATTAAGTACCTTCACTGAGGAATGGTACACTGAATCCCTTTGAGATACATGTACATGTTCACATTAAGTATAAGCTTAAGGAATAAGCTGTTTTTGTTATTTTTAATGCTAAAGGTATTTATTTATTTATTAATTTATTTATTTATTTATTTATTTATTTATTTCCAGGTGGAGCAGCCTTGTGGAGGTTTATGGACTTTGTTGTGACAATTAGATCTCCCCTATTTGTCCTACTACAGTCCTTCATCAAGTACAAGGTTTGAGGAACTTGCTCTGTATCAATTTTTATATCTTTAGATTATGCATTAGATTATGCATTAGATTAAGTGTGAGCTCTTGCTGTGCTGAAAATATAATAACCAAGAGGCCTGGTTTAATCAGACTGGTGATTTGGTCCAAGATTCCAGTTTCACTTTCTTTTAAATTTACATATATCAGCTCAACAGATTTCTATGGAAACACCAAGCTCGGTAAAATCATTTTTGTCTCACAACACCTCAGCTTAAATGATATGATTTTACAAAAGTTATACCTAGTTTTATTTTCTAGGTTAGTGATAAGACTGCACTTTTCCTAAAATACAAAGAGATGACATTGATTTTATCTAAAAAAAAAAAGTTATAAATTAAATGCATTTTTCTTGTCCAGCTGACCAAGCTCCCATGTGAAACGGAGATAGAGTTTCAGCTACAGCAGCTGGTGGCCAGCAAAGTGAAGAGTTTCAGCCTGGCGCCTCCCAAATCCACAGGCACCATTTTGATAGAGCTTGCTAATGAGCTACGCCAGATCAAAGAGGAGCTGATCCACTATGGTAAATATCAACAGTGTTTTCTTTTCTTGCATTGTTTGTTTACAGTAGTTGTTGTAATGTGTTGTCCTAGACGAACTGTCACTGTTATGCTGTGTTTATGTGTGATGTAATTGCTATTGTATATACAGTAGTGTATCCCTTAATACTGACAACGTAAATATTAACTATCGATCTTGCTATATATATACGTAAATATATATCTCTGCAGATCATCATCATCATCACCATCATTATAGGAGAGGTATGGTGGAGTCACTAAAGCATGCATTTGAAATATGGCTCTTTTATGTACCATGTTTGCATTTTGCTCTGAATGCAATGCTAGTTAATTTGGAGATGTTGATATATGCTACATATTTTATTAAAATATGCTGTATGAGCATTTGATCTGTATATACAATATGCCCTATATGTGTTGTGTAAAGGTATAGTATTGTGATGATCATTGCGCTTCATTATTTGATCTGTTCACATGCAGTGCAGTTAGTTTACGACATTAAGTCAGTTCTTTATCATCAAGAGTTTATTTTATTTATTAGAAAAAGCTACAAATTAAAAATACTGTATTGTTTTGATTCATTTTTCAAAACTATTTTTCACAACTCATTGTTTTCCTCTACTAATCTACATTTCAAATGTAATTTAGTAATTGTTTAATGATTTTATTTATTTATTTTTGTTCCTTACAATTTTATATCAGCAATGTTTGACCCAGGTTTTTGTATGTTTGATGTTTTTATATGTTTTAGTTGTTTATGTGCAGTGTTGTTTATATATATTTTGTATTTGTTCATCTTTGTATTGAAAATTTAAAAAATTTCTTCAAACTTCACTTTGAAGTGAAAACATTTGCATAGTTTGTAGCTGAGAATTCAATGCATTAAGGCACATGAGCTCAATATATGCACATCCTTCAAAACTTTAAAAGCTTAGAGGGAGAATTATTTGGAGGAAATACTCCATGAAACAAATTTTGATTGAACTTGAAATGCTTATTCCACCATCATATTTTATTTCAAATTTATCTTATTCATTCATTCATACTTTCATTCGTACCTTCAAAATGTGCCCAAATAAGTCTTAAATCCTTTTTCAAAATGGTAGCCCTGACGAAAATTCAAAGCAACTCCCTCAATTTGAGCCATCTATCTTGATTGACAAAATGAAATTTACACCCAAAAGATTTAATTTGATTACGTAAATCCCATTTATTTCACACTGAATTTTAACTTAAAGTTTCTGTTAATATTTTATATGATATTTTGAGCTTTTGTGTAGCCTATGAACCCAAAACATGACATTTTCATTTGTTTATTCTGTTATTAGAAGGCATCATGTATTATATTTATGACAATCTGTTATTTCTGTATTGTTTTTGATGGGCACTAACACTACACATTTGGAACTTTCATTTGTAGGATGTAAGGGAATGAGAAACTGGCAATGAAAAAATATCCATGTTTCATTTTATTCTTTCACTTGTGAAAGAAAAAAAAACAATATGATACTTATGTTGAAAAGAAAGCATGATACTTATGTTGAAAAGAAAGTTCTTCTGAATTTTAGAAATACCCCCTTCAGTTTTGCCAAGTTATATTTTGAAGTACTGCTTGGTTTCATAGTTGTACAATTTTACTATAACTTTGCTTGCAAGCAGTATTTCAAGTGAACAAAAAATTGGATTTTCATCAGTTTAGAACTTTGTTGCTCTTAATCTTTTGCCTTGAACTGGACATTATCAAGACCAACATTTCTCATTCCCTTCTTTCCCATTATGTGTAAAGTAGTGTTATCATTTATCATGTCTGTTCATTTCTTTGGCTGTATAGAAGATAGTAGGAAGAGTGCAGCTAGCTATTTCAATGATAGACGTCGATCCACATTGAAGTTTGCAATAGTGCATGAGAATCAGAGTGGGTTACGCATCGAGGCAGTTGCGCCGTTTCAAGTGCCTGGAGTGAAACGCCTCAGCAAAAAAGGTATGCAAGCTGGCAGGTAAACGTGATGTGGCTGTTGATGTATTTGTTGGAAATGTTCACACCCGTGTTTTTTTGGACCATATATTGGTCAAAAATGCATTGCTAGATAACCAGATGATACATGTATATAGGTAGACAGGGGGTTCCCAAATTAACAAGTGAAGCAAACCGCTAACCTGGAGAAATTATGTCTGATCAGACTTGTAAACTTACCACAGGCAGCTGATCTTGATATAAATTTAATGGAAGTGGTTGGACATGATTCAAAGCCCTGTAGACTTAAAAGTATATAGCTTGCATTAAGGTTATTGTTGGAGAATGTTGATTTGTATGTGAACAGCCTCCGTTGTTACCATGAATGTTTTAGTGAAATATCAGAAAATGTTCAGAAATCAGATTTGTAGGTTTTCTGGATTCAGTTTGCATGTTTCTTTTTTGCATACTAATGAGTAAACTGAAGTATAAGAGGTTTTTGCTCAGCTAAATGTGTAATTATGTGCCTTGTTGTGGAATCATTATATGGACTTGGTCATTGATCATTATCATAAAGAGAAAGAAGTATGTCATCTTTATCAATTTCGTCAAAAATCATTATAAATATTTTGAAGATATAACATAGCTGAAGGTTTGTATAAAATGTAAGTAGTTGAAATAACTAGGTTAGTAGAAACTGTAATGGCAAATGCAGAGTGGCCATATTGGATTTATTGGCCATTTTGGAAAATTTATAAATGTATATTTATGCAAAAAAAAAAAGCATAAGAAAAGCCCTTTATTAGTAGTGTTAAATTAGAAAGTATGCATATTAAAATAAGAAAAAAATACCTGATCATTTTAGCTTGGCATAGTATCACTGCAGCTTCTAATCAGAGAAAATTGATGTAAAAGCACATGTATATACTCATGAACACACAAACAAATGAAAGACTACACAGAAATTTCAGAAATGTGGACAATTTATATTCATCCTAACTTTTAAACTAATACTTGTATATGTATACAGTAAAAATCTTCATGTGAAAATTTTTTTCCCTTTTTTTCTTTTGTTAACACATTCACATTAACTACAGTAAAGATTTACTGACACAATCAATAGTAGTATGTCAGTTTATTCGAAGCACTAGTATGTAATTCTTTACCTCACTTCTCTCCTAGGCCCTGCATCACGGAGCAGCTCCACCAAAACTCGCCACAGCATCAATGATGACTCTCCTCACTGGGAACGCACCCCCTCCAGCAAGAGAATCAAGGTGGCAGAGGCCAATAGGATTCTGGACAAGTTCAGGAAGGATGGCAGCGAAGAGTCAGAGGCCAGTACTGGTAAGCTATTATGTATTTCTTGATTTCCATATGTAATGAATGATTTTAGAAAGTTTAGGTCCAATTTACTACTACAATAATAAAAATATTGTTATTCTTACATACAAGGGGATCTTCTCGTAACATGTGCATGAGGCAAGTTTACCTTATTTTTTTCTAATTTACTTCTTCATCTATTATGTCATGATCACAGTGGCTACGTATACTATGTTCTTTTAAAAATGAAAAATCTGGTGTTAAGCTCACACATCTCTTCCATGGCTTTTACACAAATTCAACGTGAATCCTCTCTTCATCCATCTCAAGGATCAGGGTACAAGAGTATAGAAGATATTGTGTGTCCTTTTTTTATTTATTTATTCATTTATTTATTTATTTATTTATTTATTATTTTATTTTTTTGGTCATGGCCTCTTCTACCAGCATTCTGTCACCTGTCTTATGTTTTTAAGATTCTGAACACCACCAAGAAGCAGCATGGCACATTTCTATGACATGCTGCTTCTTGGTGGTGTTCAGAATCTTAAAAACAGATTTGCTGCATATTTTTTTTCAGCTGCCGCCTCCCCCACCCGTGTCCTGCAGAGACAACCTAGCGTGTTCCACACCGCATATATCGCCAAGCAGTACAGCGTTTGTGATGAACTGGACGACATTTTATTTGAGACGCTAGAAGACCTGGAGCCACAGGCTTTAGAAGGTAAGGATTGGCTTTTATTTATTATTTATTAAATTTTTTTTTATATGATTATAAATTATTATCTGAGATTTCTCTTATCTTTAGAGTTATTTATTAGAGTCTCAGTGGTTCATATATGATGAAGCAAATTTTTTCACCTTTTTTGTACAAGTACAAAGTTTCGATCTTGAAAAATTCTTGTTGATTGAATGTAGATAGTATTAATCTTTATTCTAATGGATATTAAGAATATTTATGGAGCTGATTACTATAATGAAACTACAAAAAAATATAGCTGCATATACATGTAAGGAAATAATCAAATGGATTTTAATTTAGACCAAAATTGATACAGGCCATCATGTGAATGCTATAAAAAAATATACGCACTAGGTAAAGATCTTATGAGAGATCTTTCATAAATAATTTGTAGTTAAATTAGAACATCAATTATGAATGTATATATTCACGTAATATATATGTTATTTTAATATTAAGTTAAGTGACTCAGAATTCTAAGGATGGTTTATTTAGGATGTCAATGAAATGGCTTTTATGTATTTCCTGGAAGATCTGTCATGACAATTTAATTAAACTACTTATTTTTTCTGTTTTCACATGTTAAGTGGTTTTACATGCTGGAATGGAAGGTAGATGTGGTTCATCTTCATATACTTATTAGCTCTCTTTTCTACTGTATATTTGTACCTCAAGTGGTTTTTGATCTTTGAAGTCTGAAGAATACATAGTGAAAGAGCAGTAGGATTTCAGTGTGTTTAGTGTTTTCATACATAAAAAAAGATTGATAGCTCAGTCTTTTTTGTGTCCTGCTGTAATCACTTTAGGTCTGATTGATACATAGATTACAATTAATGTTTGCAGTTAACTTAAAATTTGTTTAGGTTTTTAAAGTGGTATATTTTAGTACTGATACACTGTCACTACTGGCATTGTTATAGCTGATGGTTAAGGAAATGTCTACTGAAATGTTAGATTTAATTAATAGACCAAAATAACTTTTCTAAAATTAATATCAGGGAGTATTTTGAAGAGATTGTTTACTGATCTGGCACAGAGAAATAGATAATGGCTTAATTTTGAATGGACTGAGGAAGAGGGGGGGGGTCGACTATTTCATAGGTGTATATATTAGCCGTGGTGGTTAGAATTCATGACTACCCAATTTCAAGATTTTTTTTCTTTTTTGTGAGCAATTTTCAAAGGTTGCTTGTACTATTTTAAATTTGCAGATTGCAGATAAAATTTTCAACACCTTATCATAAAATGCACATATTATTGTAGTATCTACTTTGCTTAAATTCATTTGTAGGAATGTTATTTTATTTTCTAACCTTAGAACTTAAATAACTTGCAGCTTTATACCTAGTAGTAATACTTAAGAAGGCTGTTTTTAACATTGTTGTGTAAGTGTGGTCATATAAAGGTACGAGATATACTGATGTTGTAATATGTGTACCTGTTTTTTCACCTCAGTTGTGAGGAGAAAATTATGGAATTATGTTTTACATTTAATACACAGCTTCTCCCTTCCAGTACTTCACATTATCAATTAAATTATGTGGTAATTGAGAATATTTTTAAAATCACAAACTGACTTGTCTGAGTTTTAAAATTTTACTTTGTAAAAGAACAAAGAAAGTAAATTGTGCCTTACAGAAGTCTAAATTTAAGGGTTGAGCTGTGTATTTTTAAAACATATTGATGTATTGTTGTCTGTATGTAATAACCCCCCCCCCCCCCCCCCGCATATACTTATTTTGCATGTAAAAGATATATGTATAAGATATCTCCAATACAAATATGTTTACATGTGGTATCACCAACTTCAGTCTAGTAAACACCACATGTTGTACACAAAGGGCGCATTCCCATAGATTTTAGATCGATCTATCCCCGTGGGGAGTCTCACTAGATTACTGTCAGATAATCCAACTTAAATGTCCGTCTCGCCAACTACAAGCTGTAAGGGGGTAATTAACTTTCGTGCCCACTCGGCTGACAGCTATTTAGCTTGAACCCCAAGGGAGTTAGGTCGATCTAGTTGGATCGATCTAATCTCTGGGAATGGGATCAAAGGCAAAGCACACAATACACATTCGCACACAAAATGTGCAATAACATGCATATTAGTAGAGTTATGCATACACATGGACATTCCATCTCCCTACCCTGGTCCCAGCAAAAAAAAAAAAAAAAAAAAAAAAAGAAAGAAAGAAAGAAAAAAGAAAAGAAAAAAAGAACATTCAATTGTGTACTACGGCCTTCCCTTTAGCCTCTATACACCCATATTTTATATTTCATATTTCAAGTACTAACCACACCCATTGCTTTCTTAATGTAATATCTTCCCTTGTGTCCCTCTGACAGCTGTGGAGAACAGTCTAACTGTTGCCAATGGGAAAAAGCTGGAAAGTTCTCCATATAGTAAACCACCTGGTTGGCACCGGCGATCCGTCCACACTCTTGGCGGACCAACCAGGGTCTCTCAGCGCCGTGAACGGATCAGCCAGGAAAGCGTATATACGATAGCCCGGGAAACTGTGGAGGAAGGCGAAGAGAGCGAGGAGGAGGCTGTTTGTGAGAGGACGGCTTTGCTCCACTCAGAAGGACGCAGTGCTGGCGGTGATGATCGTGAAGATGACGATGATGATGAAGGTGAAAATAAGTCGTTGATCAACAGCGAAGGTGACCCTCATGATGATGAATACTTTTCAGGTTTGTCACTGCTGCCATGGCAACTGGTTTTGATTGACAGTTTGGCATTTGGCATTGAAGTCTTGGGAAAGGAATGATGTATTGAGGAGCATTTTCCTTGCCTACTTACATCAAATTGTGATCATTTACTGATGGCCCAACAGGACTGAGTTTAAGAACAAAAATTGTTTTATACACCATCTGCAGATATTTTGTGGAACCACTGTATTGTTTTGGTTGTGTGTTATGGTAACCAAACTGATGTCTTGTAAAAAGTGTTGTATTGGTCACTTGTTGATGTCCTTGTTGTGGTGCCATCATGTGAAAAAAAAAACCTTGGATGTACATATTGACAAACTGGTTTGGAAATGGAATTGGGCTCTGAATTCCATTTCCAAGCCAGTTTAGGTATAATTTGTAGGAATAATATGCATGGCATGCTGTCTCAAACCTGAATCCTGTTCATGTCACATCCACCCGCTATTCCCGTCTCACCAATCACAGTGAACATGACACTTACAGCCCCAATACAACAACGTCCAGAACAGACATGTTTGACACTATCACATCTACAACAGTCACACCTTGCACAATGATGCATACAAACCCAGTGTACACAGTATGGCAACCAATGTAGTCATATTCAAGAAACTAGCACAGTGATGCATACAAACCCAGTGTGTACACAAAATGGCAAACAGCACTCTGTTTCAATCAATGCAGTCATATTCAAGAAACTTTATTTTCCAGACCACAATCTTTGACAGAGTTGAAAGTATCAGCTTTGACTTTTATGAATTATATTAATTGAACAGTAATTTTCAAAGTATTAAATTGCCTACTCATAATATGCATGAAAGTTTCACTTAAACGATATTAGTTTATTTATTTTAACATTATGTTTTATCATTGTCATTGCATATTGTTATTGCATCTTGCATTCCATAATTGATTGGTTGTTGTTGTAAATACCCTGCATCTTGTGCATTGTACTATTTTTGTTTGTTGCATCATTCTTATTGTCATTGATTTACTTATTGTTTCTGTTGCATTGGTATGTCATGTGCATGCTTATTGTTTTGTTGCACTATAGATGTCAGCACCACTCAGTCACAAACGCCTTCGCCCTTCTTTAGACAACGTCACAATCGTGTTTATCATCGAGGGAAGTTAGTTAGACATAAAGCTTCATATGATGAGGATGTTGCCCAAACATTAACACGTAGGAAAAAACTGACGAGGCAGTCAGCGACTGTCCAGGAAAGTTTATCAGATAATGAGGAGGAGCAAGGTCAACAGAATATAGGTCAAGGTCAAAATGAGGTCACAGAATGTGAAGGTCACACTGAGGAGGAGAAAAGCAGTGATGAAGGTGTGTTCTTTAGTTTTTGGTTTAGACCAAATAAATAAAAATAAATGGACCTGATATAAATATGATGAATACTGAATTTTCAATTTGTTGCATGTGAAATTTGTGGAAAAAGTGAAAGAGAGATTTTAAAAAGTTTTATGAAATTTTAAGAACAATTAGTGATGTTGATGATAAAAATAATTAAATTTGGGAAGTGCCCTTTATTTCTTTTTAACTAGAGCACAACCAGAGCAAAACTTGTTAAAGCAAAACCAGCAGATTGAGGTGGAAGCTGCTTACTCACTGGGGTATCACATATAGCATATTAATGTAAATAAAGCTGACTAAAATGGCACCTGCACTCTTTGATGGTCTCAAAAATGTGTCTTTTTCAAAAACTCCACTATGCATATGTACTTATATACACATTTAAAAGTGTAATAAAAACCAATATATTTCAAAATTAATCTAACATACTTTATATCTAACTTTAACAAAATTAAGAGTTCAGACAAGGAATGTTTTTGGTCAGAATTAGGCCTAGTTTATTATTAGACACTTGAATACTAACAGGCAAGGGAATATGACTAATTTGGTTACAACACAAGTTGCAACTATTTTTTGATAAAAACAGTTCTTTTCAAACAAATTTTTTAACTTAAAAGTCAGTTTGACCAATGTTAATCATTTTTTTAAGAAAATTGTGAAAATAACAAATATTTGCATACATTTATTTCACCTGGCATAAATGCACTTCAGACAAGAACTGTTTTAGACCAAAAGTGAGTTGTTTGCACTTCATTGGAGGACCAGATTGTCTTGTCTGAACAGTGGTGAAGTGATCCATTAGAACAGGGGCTGCTGCTTGGATTTAGTTTCTTGCATGTGTCCAGGTATTGCATTATGGTCATTGCATAATTGTTCTTTCTTTAAACAGGATGTTTGCATTTGAATTATTCTTACATATTATGGGAACAAATTTGCAGGTACTAAACAATGATACATGCAAGAAATGTTTTGCAATGTTTTTTTTACAATCATTTCAAGGCTGCTTATCTGTTGGCATTTTTTGAATAGATTGAATAAACTAGGGCTGGTTTCCTGCACTTATTAACTTCTATTTGAAATTCACGGGTGAAGACAGGGAACAACTCGATCTTTAATCTATAGCGAACCATGGCTTTTTGGAATGATAGTCCAAGCATTATAAATTGTGTGATATTTCACTGGGTATGATACGATATAACTGATTTTGTGCTGTGATATCACAGGATTGCGATATTGTGCTAGTTGTGATAGCACATGGCTGTGATATTGCTCCAGTAGGGATTTCACAGGGATGTGATATCGAACTTGGAGTGATTTTGCAGAGTTGTGATATTGCACTAGGTGTGATACTATGTGTCTGTGATATTGCTCTTGGAGTGATATCATTGGATTGTGATATTGCTCTTGGAGTGATATCATTGGATTGTGATATTGCTCTTGGAGTGATATCATTGGATTGTGATATTGCATTAGGTGAGATATAACCAGGTTGTGGTATTGCTTGACATGGATATAACAGGGTTGTGATATTGCATTAGGTGAGATATTAATATTAACATGGAGTGGTTACTACCTTCACCTAGCTGCAAAATCATGCATTAGACTCTTTGTGTTAATGTGTGACTTTGTTCTATGATTAACACACTTATGAAATATACAGGATTATGTATCCTGTATCCTTATTCTATACAGGATTATATATCCACATGGAGCAGCATTAATATCAGTGATAACATTAGGGTTGTATTTAATTTATTTGACACTTAATTGACATTATTTGATGAAGTTGAACTGCTTATTGTTTTGGTGATAGAACTCTGGGTGAAAAGTGTGACAAAGCAGGTCCAGGGAGTAGCATAGAGTAGTGTTGGGGGGGGGGGGGGGGGC